TGCATAAACTAGTAAAAGCAGATGAGTACAGTTGGCTTCCAAGCAGGCCCAATTGGTGGGAGACACTGGCAGGAGCTGCAGAAGGGTGTGAGGGAGGGAAAGAACCTGTCTCCACTTCCCCATCTACCCCGGCAGATCCCCATCTTGAGATGGATAGGGCCCAGTGTTTCTAGCTGCCAACCATGGCCCCTGAGCTCCTTCCTTTGGGTACCCCGCCTCCTGTCTCTTCCTCCCGCCCCAAGCTTCTGGACAGTAGTAGCTTCCTTCTTTTGCTAATTTCTATTTGGCTTCTCAGTTCTCCTATCACCTATTGACCAATTTCCTATATTGGCAACTCTTAGAGATGGACTAAATGCCTTTTTCGTAAAAGGATATCCATGAGTGTTTGGGGGGCCAGGGGCAGGATGTTATGGTTTGTGTTTAGATGTCCCCTCAAAGCCTCATGCCATCATAGGTGGGGCTTTTTCAGAGGTGGCTGGATCTAGTGTGTGTGATGCTGGAATTAATTCATGGTGCAATGCTAGGTACAAAGGCACTAGGTTTAAGGGTGTAGTGCTACCTGCCCTAAGTAGTCTAGATAAGATAAAAGGGGAAGAAAGATGCTGTTGTCTTTTGCTTCCTTGCTTTTGCTGTCTTTGCCTGCAATGAACTGTTTCTTCTCTGCAATACCCCTCTGCCATGTGCCACCCTGCCTTGGAGCCAGCCAAGTATGGAATGAAACCTCTACAAACTGTAAGCCAAATGAACCTTTCCTCCCTTAACTTGTGAGTGTAGGGTATTTTGTCTCAACAACGAGAAAAAACAACTAAGACAGGTGCACTGTTCCATGGTCTTTTGTACATTCACTTTGTTCTGCAACTATCATCACCATCTATTTGCAGAACTTTTTTATTGTCCCAGTTGAAACTCCATATCCATTAAACAACAACCCTGAATTCCTTCCTCCTCCCAGGCCCTGGCAACCTCCATTCTATTTTCTGTGTCTATGATTTTTCACTGCTCTAGATTCCTTGTGTAGATGGAATTACACAATATTAGGCCATTTTTGTCTGGCTTATTTCCTCTAGAATAATGTCTTCAAGGTTCAGCCATGCTGTTGCATGTATCAGAATTCCACTCCTTTTTTCTACATCTGTTTTAGCCAAATTCTTTCAGTTGCAAGTAACAGAATCCCCGAAGTAACCCAATTTTACAGTTTAAACCGTATTTATTATCTAATACAGTAAGATGTTCAGAGGTAGAGCAGCTTCAGGGTTGTTAAGTCAGTAGCTTAAAGAATCTTCAAACTCAGGTTAGTTTTCCATTTTTCCATTTTTTCTGCCTGGTTTCTGGGGAAATTCACCTCATGCTTGAGGTCTCAAGACTGCTATAGTGTTAGCCATTTGTATGAATTAGCTTTCGTTAGATTGTGCTGTTACAACCCCCCCCCCCGCCATCTCTATGGCTTCAAATAACAAGCATCTAGAATCCTGTTTCTTTCTTTGAGACAAGGTCTTATTTGCAGCCTAAGCTAGGCTTGAACTTGTGATCCTCTTGCCTCAGCCTCCCAAGTGAGTGCTGTGATTACAGGTGTGAGCCAATATGGCAGGCATAGAAGTATATGCTTTTCAAGGTACAAAAAGCTTTTCTGGAAATTCTCTAGCAGTCACCCCATTAGACAGAATTGTGTAATTTTTATTTATATGCCTAAAAAAGTAACTGGCAACTGTGATTCTCTTAGTTCATTTTATATTCATCCCTTAAAGATGGATGAGAGGCTGGCTGCCCCGAAGCAAAAGTATATACAGAAGAGGACATTCTTGGATGAAAGCAGGATTCTGTTCAGAAGGAGGTAAAATGCCCATTGGGCGTGGAACTTGTAGTGCCTGCTATGATATAACATCCACCCTCCATCTCAGTCAAGCTATCTGGTAAATAACACAGACACACCATTCAATCAGTTGCAGCCAGAAACCTGGAAATTGACCTCTAATCTCCTTCTCTCTCCCCTCCCCTTTATCCAATCATGATCAAGTCCATGGATCAAGTCCAAGTTCACCTTGACTTTAGCTCATGGGCAGCTCTTTTGTTATCCATGTTCAGGGCACGACCATCACCTTTCACCTGGCCACTCTGCCAGATTTCTCACTGGTCTCTCTGCATCTGATCTTGCTAACCCTCAATCCAGTCGCTAAGCTGACAGAGCTTCTTTTTAAAGTAATTTGAGTCACATATTTTCCCATTGAAAAGCTTTAAGCTGGGCATAATGGCATACACCTGTAATCCCAGTACTCTGGGGGGCTGAGGCAGGAAGATTACAAGTTCAAGCCTAGCCTGAGCAATTTAGTGTCTTAAGGAGACCCTGTGTCAAAATTGAAAAGATTTTTTAAAAGCCTGAGGCTACAGCTCAGTGCAAAGGCCCTGGGTTTCAAACCTCACTACCAGAGGTTAGGGGAGCAACACCTTTCTTAGCCTTCCCTTTGCTCCCTGGAGAAAGTTGAAATCTCACACTACACCTCCCAAGGCCCTCTGGCATTTTGGCCCAGTATATGTCTCTGGCTTCATCCCTTCCTACTTGTTTTCTGGCTTCTGCCTTGTGCCTGTCACCTTATGAATCCTTTCTCATCATTCAGGTTACAAGTTAAGCATCACTTCTTTGAAGATGTTCTCTATTCCCATAATGCAATGCCCTGTAGTTCCTTTGTCACTCTAGTCGTCCAAATTTATGGTAATTTTCTGTTAAAGTCTGTCTTCCCCTGTACACTGTAAGTTCTGGGAGGGACAGGACTGTGTCTAAGTGCTATATCCCTATCACCCAGCATAAGGCATGGCTAGAATACGGGTTAAATAAAAGTTAGAGATTGGAAAGTTTTCATGTTATTGGACCAATAGGTGGTAACTGACACTAGAGACGTACAGGTGATAATCCAGAGAAGGTATTTCTGGAAACAGAAGAAAAACAATGAGCAAGAGATGGAGAAAAGACTGACAAGGAGGATGAGAAATGAGTAAGCAGAGAAGTAGAACATCAGAGGAGAATGTAGTCACAAACCCCAAAGGAGAAAGCATTAGAAACTGGAGGTATCAAACAGGGTCACCCACAGCCAGGGGACATAATGTGGATAAAAAATGGCCATAGACTTGGTTACAGAACCAGAAAGGTATGGTTGAGAGTGTTGGACTCCTTTAAACTAATATACATAAGAAGGTATTTCTTTTTCTCCTTTTCCTCTGTTCTATTCATCGGTCCATCAAAGATTCATTAAACATCTACTCTAGGTCAGGTACTTTGCCAGGCTTTAGGGAGATCTGGGAACTACAACAAGCTCCCTTGGCCTATGGGAAAGTTACAGTGCACCCGGGCTTGGTGTTGTACTGGAGTTGGTACTGATTGTCTTTCTGGACACATTCAATAAAACTAGACCTAGCATGCAAGTCCAGAGGTGTGTAAGACTTTATTATCTTGTACTGAGATGGCAGGAAGCAAAAGGGAAAGTGCATGTAGCACACTATTATTGCATCACTTCTGTCTGTCTGTAAGTCAGTCAGAGATGAGATTCTAGGTTTTTCCAGGAAAACATTCCATCTGCTCAAAAGCAGAAAAATGACAGAGCAGTTTAATCAAAAGCACATCCTTTTAAAATAATTCTCCAAACCTGGTGCCACATACTACTCAATATGCACAGATTTTTCTTTCAGACTACATTGTACTACTGACTAAACTATTGCTTCGCTATTTTTTTTTTCTTTCTGTCCTTGTGTTCTCAAACAGTGTGGTGTTGTGTTCAAAAGGTCAGTGAGTCAATCTGCTGAAAATTAATGGGTTGGGAGTTGGACTGGAGACAAAGGGAGGGACACCAACTTATTAGAAATTTCTTACTAGGTTTTCACTTAACACTCATTTTATACATTTCATTTTATATAACAGACATTGTGCTGGGGAAGAAAGTTTAAATCATAATCCCTTTAAGGCACATTATCTTTAATATCCTAGAAAAACTATTATTTAAGGATATTCAGCCTATTAATTTAAAAAAATTACACTAGGCATTCTTTGAAGCCTGTGTCATAATTTCCTAATTAATAGCTTGGATTTTAGATATACTCTTTTTTTTTTAAATGTAGGATTAGGGAAGAAAGCGATACAAAATATCTGTCCCTATCCCCAAACAGACTTTAGTTTTTGGGATCTGGGAACAGAAGTAGGAAAACAAGCTCGGATGAGTCCCTTCCTAGGGAAATGCCCTCAAAAGACTAAGCTCAAACCTCGACCTCCCTAGTGCTGCTATTTGAGCTTCATGGGGACCTGGGGAGGATTGGGCAAGGACGGAGCCCGAATAAATCCTTCCCCAATGGAAGGAACAACAAGGGCATGAATAACAAGGAATAATAAGTTACACATCCCAAGTACTTACAAGAGGAGGGCAGGAATAACAAAGAACAACAAGCTACACATCCCAGGTGCTTACAAGGAGTCAGGCTCTGCTCAAAGCGCTCAGTTAATCATCCCCAAACCCTCACAAAATAACTACTATTATTTCCCCTCAGAGAAACTGAGTCAGACAGGTTAGAAGCAACTTGCCCAATGTCCTACACTACAAATCAGAAGAGCGGGTATCTTGCTGGTGGCCATTAAAGGTGCCAGTAATATGTCCAACTTCGCTGAAACGGATCAGAGAAACTCATCTTTAAAACTGCAAGCAGGACCCGTATGGAAAGCCGGTAACTTGTGAACGGTGTCAGAGATAAGGAATTCCTCTGCGAGGAGGCTGTGCGAGACAGAGGTGAGCACGAAGGCCAGGGTGCGGGGTGCCCCAAGAGCGTTTAGCCTTCCCCGGGTCAGAGCCGCAAAGCCAGACGCTGGCGTTGGGAGGACGAAGCCACTTCGGGCACTGGCCACGTGTCTCAGGCTCTCGGCCAGGAGTGGTTCGCGGAGGTGGGGCCGGGAGCGGGGCGGGGCATTCGGACCCGCGCTGGGAGCAGTGCGCTTGCGCGGGTAGGCGTGGCGGGAGCGGGAGCCCAGAGCTTTAAAGCCAGCTCCGCCCGCTCCGGGCTCGACTGCCGCGCTGCGCAGGCGCGGCTTCTCTCCTTGTCATTTCGCGCGGCGTGTGGGTTGGTGGCTCTGTGGTGGCGGTGGCGGTGGTAACGGTCTTCGGCACCATGAGCAGCTTCACCAGCGAGGAGCGCGCCGCGCCTTTCACCCTCGAGTACCGCGTCTTCCTCAGTGAGTGTCTGCGGCCCTCCGCGCCTCTCCTTCCGCTGTCCATTCATTCCCGGCCTCGCCGCCCCGCGCGGGTGAGGCCCCTGGTCCCCGAGCGGCCGGCTTCCTTGGCGCGTCTCTGGGCCCTAAGGGCCACGCGGGCGAGGGTCGCCCTCCGCTGTCCCTCCCAGCCTAAGGGAAACGCTCCCCTTTCCCACGTTCCGCAGGACGCTGACCCGGGGCCGGGCTGGTTTTGCAAGTGTCGGGCTCGGGGCGGGGGGGGGGGGGTCTGTTGGCAAAAGAAACCACTGAGTCACCCTAGAAAGGTGCCTGGACGTAAAACAATCCCCGTAAGAGGATTGCTGTCTGGAGGAACGGGAGCAGGGGGTCGGTGACTGCCCAAAGACCTTAATTCCACCGCCTTGGTTCACGTGGTCGGCTCTGAGCCGGGTCAAGTCCTCCCTATCGTTGGACAGCCGGGGAAACTGAGGCCCGGATCACGCTGAACCTACCCTCGGGCGTAGCGCTTTTGCCTCTTCAGCCTCTTGTTTTCCCGTAAGCGCTGATGCTGGGAGTGTTCCTTCTGAAACAGAAAGCTGTGCCCTCCCAGTCACACAGGTGACGTCGGTCCAGGAAGCAAAGTGCCAAGTTCTAGTCTGGCGCAGGAATCGGAGTCCAAGGATATCTTCCAAGTCCTGCACTTAGGAGCAGGAGGCTGCAGACTGACTGCGTCCTATCTCTCTAGGCGCATCCCCTTTTGCCTTCTAGCTACCCAGGGTTTATTTTTCTCCATCCCTTCATCCTCCAGCTACTAGGAGTAGATTAATGGCGATAACAGAGCTGTTAGGAAATGTGTCGCCAAAGGCCCCTCTGTTTTACCCTCTTTAAAGTTTTATTCGGAACAGAAGAGGCAAGTTCAGCGAAGTCTGTGGGTTAGTGTATGAAGGGCAGGAAAAGGATGGAGGGCGCAACTGGGAATACAGTGCCGAAATGACAGAATGAACCAAGCACCTAGCAAAACTCAGCTAGGGGTGGGAGGAGGAGGAAAGTGAACCCTAAAGTTTACATGGGTATCTGAAAGTTAAACCACCAGATAAATTCAGGAAGGGTGAGACTCCCCATTATTTAATTTCAGAATTAAGTAGTAAGGGCATTACAGGACGAATATTTGACTAAATTCACTGCGCTGTTTTTCTGATAATAGTGTTGGCTTCAGAATTTCTCTATAGAGTGGATTTACTGTAGAGAAGTGTCTGTCTGCTTTGAAAGGTGATGGGATCATCTAGAAATGGTCTTCAAGCTACACATTTATAACAGACTCACTGTTTTTACTTAGATTAGGTCTTGGCAGTATTTGAGGCCAGTAGGGGAGACACCAAAGCCACTCCTTTACATTGACTCAAGCTAATGTAACTTTATCAAATGAAACTGTCTGGAATTTAAGAAATACCAATAAAGGCCTGGGTAATGTGGGTCAGTGGTAGAGCACTAGCCTAGCATGTTTAAGGCAATGGATTCTATTCCCAGTACTGAAAAATAAAAACAAAAAACCCAAGAATTAGAACTGTAATTAACTAATTTTAAATGCTTTTTAAAAATCATAGATTTCTTAGTATTCTTCCTTAATAGAAGTATAAGGGTCTAAAAGAGTAGAGTCACAATTAACTGGGAAGGGACCCTCAGAAGATTGAGGGCAATCACTGTTCAAATTCTCCCATTCCACTTTGGGTTTGTTTGTTTCTGAGACAGTGTCTCACTCTGTAGTTCATCCTGGCCTTGAACTTGCTGTGTAGCCCAGGCTGCCCTCAAAGTCGAGGTGATCCTCCTGCCTCAGCCTCCCAAGTGCTGGGATTACAGGTGTGCGCCATCATGCCTGGCCCACTTTGTTTTTTAAGTTTGAAGGAATATAACATAGATGAATTCATAGGTTTCCTCTTGAATAGTGGAGAACGTGTTTTTGTTTATTTGTTTGCAGTCCTAAGGATGTAACTCAAGTATTGCACATGCTAGACAAGCTCTCTACTACTGAGCTATATCCCCTGCCCTGAGGAATTTTTAAAATTACTTTTTGGGTATGGTAGTTGAGTCTCTAGAACATAGAAATTACCTGTGAAGAATTTGTTACAACTTGATTATCCTTAAAAAAATTGTAATCTAAGATTCTGTCTTCCTGAAACATCACTTAAAGCAACATGGTTTATAATTTAGCAAAATGCTGTGTTTCTTTCTCTCCAGTTATTTCATTAGAGTTCTGAAATAGTTAGCTGATGTAAGGTCAAAAATAGTTTGGTCACCATTTGCATACTATTAGCACTGCAGAGGTTAGGATGTGCAGGGCTAAGGATTAATGCTGTCACAGGCCCACAAGGTGCTTAGGATGAAAGCCTGCTCTTGGGGAGGGTTGGGGAAAGAGAATACACAACCAGGTTTTATCTATTTATTTTTGGTGTGGGAATAATATTGTGTACTTCATGCATTTAACAATATAATCATAATAATAACTTATTATTTCGCAGAAAATGAAAAAGGACAGTATATATCACCATTTCATGATATTCCGATTTATGCAGATAAGGTAAGATATCCCTGTCTTGAACCTGGTCTCTTTCCTCAGATCAGGTAGTTCTATATTTCATGTGTGTCACTTTACAAGAGGTTAAAGTGCCTTGTTGTGCTGTGAGTTAAAGGTTCATTGACAAATAAGAAGTCAGTCTTAACAACCAGATCATTCAGTTAAAGAAGCAACTGTAAATTGGGGAAGGAGTAGAGGACTAGAAGCAAGTTTTTAAACTGCCTTGTTTTTAAAAAAATCATATTTAGCTGGGGTGGTGGCACACGCCTTTAATCCCAACGCTTAGGAGGCAGAGGCAGGAGAATTGCTGGGAGTTCGAGGCCAGCCTGGAGTACATAGTGAATTCAAGGACAGCCAGAACTACATAGCAAGACCTTGTCTCAAAAAAAAAAAAAAAATCATATTGGTCTTTTCTGTATGTGAGTTTGGAAATAAATCCTACTACTTCATTAGTGGTTTGAAAATAAACCAGGTAGCCAGCACAGAATTTTGACTGTAAAAGTGGGATGTTTATTAAACAGTAAAAATAGATCATTCAGTCAATACAAGATAATTCATGGGCTAGTAGAGTTATTTGCAAATAGTGTTAATAAAGGTAAGGACACAGACTCCTAAAAGGAAATGTCTGTCCCTGTACACACCAGTGAAATGAAGAAATCTAACTTTAGCACAGATTGGTTAAGTTTACCGTGAATTAATAAGAATATTTGTGATCCTTGGGTGGTAGGAATACCAGTAACTTTTTTTTTTTTATGGTGGTGGGGATGGAACCTAGGGTCTTACACATGCTAGGCAAGAGATCTACCTCTGAGCTGCACCCCAGCCCCTATTTTTACACTTTTAAATAATAATGTTTAAAAAAAGAAGAAGAAAGCTTTTTTTCAGCTTCCTTTCCAATGGGTGAAGTTTGTACTGGATTTAGGAACTTGATCTGGGACAGATACCTGATTCTGTGTAAACCTTTCATATTTTTTTCCTTGTCATTGACCTTTCTTAGCCTGATGTTGATACATAATACAGGTGAATATCACATTCCAAAGCTCATGTAGAATAACAGCAAAGATTTTAAAATTTTGTCCTTGTGTATGCTGCCTTTTGGGCTTGCCTCAGAAATAGACTCATTGTACTATACTTCTGCTAGGAAGTCTACTGCAGTTCCATGCTGACACTTGGACACTGGCAGAAAATCCTTCCTACCAGTTGCTTCAGAGGAGCCTGCCCACACTGGGCTCCTGTTGGAGGCAGTGGAGCAAACAGCCTGAGACCAATTATGTGCCACAGTTACAGCAGGGACCTCTAATTGGCATGTGCTTTCCTGTGGGATTCTCAAAGTTGTACTTATTCCGAAACTCCAATTTGTTACATCTGATTCCTGGGAATTGATGTGAACTACAGAGTCCTCCCCATCTCTTGAATTAGCCCCATTTGGTTAGCTTGAATTATCTGGTTTTTGTAAAATATATGTAAATCATACTGTAAAGTACTTCACCCTAATGTTTCAGCTCATTCTGTGTGATAAAGAGGCATGAAACTACCCTAGATTTACTTTATTATTATGTGATACTGGAGATTTACACCCAGGGCCTCACACATGGTAGGTAAGTGCTCTCCCACTGAAGTACCTCCGCAGCCCCTTTTCCCTCTTATTTTGAGACAGGATCTCACTAAGTTACTTGAACTTGCCATCTTTCTGTCTCAGCCACCTGAATAGCTGGGATTAAAAGTCTGCTATGCTGTGGCCAGCTAACACTAGCTTAACTGATGGTCCCCTCAAATACAGGTGTGCTGAGCAAAGAAAATACCTTGATATGTAGCTGATTTTTGGTGTTTGTAAATGATTGGACAGTATTCTAGCCAAGGACCAGGATGATCATAGACGTGTGGTGCCTAGACCACATGGTCTCATGTAAAACATCTTCACAGGTTTCCTGTGACCCTGGTGTCTTCGTTGTGTCTGTGATGTGGTTAGTCAGGTGAAGACTCTGCCCTTGTACCACCCTGTGCAGGCTTAGAAGCACGACCCCTTGTGACAACTCTGATTTCACCAATGGTCCAAACCCTGAGGGACCTCAGCATGTGTAATTCTTGCTTGAATGGCCAGAAGCAACTCTTTTGTTCTGTTCTGTTTTTAAGGAAGAAGTTATTTGTTTATAATACAAATAAGGGTGAGGGTGGCAGGGATTATAGCTCCCCAAAATCCTAGTAATTCTTTTTGTTGTAGAAGAGTGTGGTTTTCTTTTTTAAAAATATCTAATATGATTACGTTTACATAAACACATTTTTGTGTGTGTGGTGTAGACTTTCTCCCTGACATGGTCTATCATTTCAGGGGTGGTAATGAGAGAATGTCATTACGAATAAGAATGTCCCTTTAACACAACTCAGTCAACTTCACAAAGGAAAAGTGTCCAACAGCTCACATACTCTAACCTATGTCAGGACCTTTTGATGTGGACAACATTCAGTTTGGTTATGTCATTAGAATCAACCTAGCTAGGTCAGGAAATTCTTGTGACTCACATATCCTGCTTGGATTATGTCCAAATCAAATATGTGGAGAAGACAGACATGGACTCCCTGGATTTTCCTTTTTAGTTGTAGCAATGTCCTTTGCTGTGCATTTATTTTGGGATCAAATGTACAAGCACCGGTAGCTCAGTTCTATCTTCTATAATGAAACACAGGGCAGAGAAAGATCTAAATCTTAGTGCTCAAATATCGTGACTTGATACTTTAATTTTAGGAGTTTGGTGTTTTTCTAGTTCGTATCTTTTTTATTTGTTTGTTTGTTTTTGTTTTTTGAGACAGGGTCTCGCTATGTAGCCCAGGCTGGCCTCCACCTCCTGGCAATCCTCTTGCCTCAGCCTCCCAACTACTGGGATTACAGGTGTGCACCACCACGCCCAGCTTCTAATCCATATTTTAAAGCTGGTGTTAAATACTAGTTCTGACTACGTAGCTTCTATTTAGTTTCCTAAGATCCTCCTGGGAGCATGTAGGGAACTGTTTCTTTTACTCCCTTCCAAAGAAAGTCAAGCTTCTAGTCCAGTGATGGTGACCCTTTTAGAAAATGAGTGCTATCCTGAGTTTGATCCCTGGTACCAAAAAAAAAAAAAAAAAGAAAGAAAGAAAAGAAAGTGAGTGCTAAACTGTAATCCCGAACCCACTTACGTATTGCAAAGTGCCAACACTGCAATTAAACCTGAACACTGAGGTTTTAGTTTAGGAAAAACGACTCATACATTAACATTTTGGTCTTAAAAGAAAAACACAACATGTGTTTCATAGGTTCACCACCACTATTCTAGTCAAACAAGTTGATGCTTCAGAAATTTGATGGTATTTTTTACAATTTGGTATAATTGTTCATTTTTCTTGGGAAAAGTTTTAGGTCAAATTTCATAGACATTGCAAATCTCAGAAAAATTTGACATCTGGAAATGTAGACTCTTGCTTGATTTTATAGAGGAAAAAATAAACAAGTTATGGTTAGAATATCTGTTTTTAAAATTTAGTTTTTCTGCAGCTTATCTGAAAGGAAACTATAGGCACTTATTTTTAGTGATGGCATAGCAGATTTAAGTTACTACTTTGTATAGATACATATGGCAGTGTGTATTTCCAACAACTAGAGGTGTTTGGCTGCTGTGAATAGAAAATCACATAATTGTGCAACCAAGTTGAGGTTGAGTATCCCTAATTTGGGAATCTGAATTTTTTTAAATGCTCAGAAAGTTTCAGATTTCAGAGCATTTTGGAGTTTTGGAGTTTTGGATTGGGTATCGTCAACAGTAGAGTCTATTTTAGAATCCAAGAAACCCCAAAATCTGAAACACTTCTGCACTCAAACATTGCGGATAAGAGATACTCAGCCTGTATTACTGGGAGGTGTGTGTGTGTGTGTGTGTGCATGCTTAGTTTTTCACTTTAATAGGTTAACTCTGTCCTCTGAACTTCTGAGAGTTTGTCGAGCAAATAGTTTTTGGTTGGTATAAATCATGTTTTCTTTTGTTAAGTTACAATTCTAAATGTAGAAGGGCACAATAGTGTGAATTTTTGTTATCATATTTCCTTCTGTTTACTTCTCAAATAGACTTTGTCACTTGTCAACAAAATAATTCAGGAATCCATTTCCTTTTAACAACTTAGATTATATCCTCCTATAATCATGTAACTAACCTTAAAGCCAAAACTGAAAAGTAAGGGTCAAGAGCCATTGTTACTCAATGAACATTGAATAAGGCAAAATATTCTTGGAAAAGATGAAATCTGGTACACATTTTCAAAAGCAGTACTATGGGATAGAAATGTTTGTATGAGCTCTTGTGATAGGAGTATAATTTTTTTTTTTGGTACCCAGGATCGAACTCAGGTCCTTTCGCTTTCGAGGCAGGTGGTGGAACCACTGAGCTAAATCCCCAGCCCAGGAGTATAATTTTTAAAAAGTAAAGTTACTCTTGTTTTTTTTGGTTATCAGTTTTTTGGCTTATGTCTAATCTTTAGATGAATTTAGAAGAAAATCCTTTCCACCACTATTGTTTTTCTCTTACTGTGAAACAAATTTTTAAAAATGAGTGGTGGGATCAGAAGGTGATTTTTTTATTTTTGTTTTTGTCTTTTTTGTACTAGGGATTGAACCCAGGGCCTTTGCACTGAGCTACATCCCAGCCCTTTTATTTTGAGACTGAGTCTCACTAAGTTATTAAACGTCCAGACTGGGGTCAAACTTGTGATCCTCCTGCCTCAGCCTCCCAGAGTGATAGAATTATAGGTATGCCTGGCTCAGAGGGTGATTTTTGTATTTCTTACTCATCATTTCTTTGTTTTTGTTTTGGTACCAGGGATCGAACTCGGGGACCTTGCCCTTGTGAGGCAGGCAGCGGAACCACTGAGCTAAATCTCTGGCCCGTAACTCATCATTTCTTGCTCATCATTAGTAAATGACTAGCTAGGCTATTGACTTGGTCCACAAGAATATTAGTTGGCTTGAAAATGAGACCTATTCTCAACCATATTGCTGTAATAGTCACATTTAATCAATGCAAATTTAAGCTTCGCCAGGAAGTAGGCTATATTTCTCCTATCCCTGAAACAATTTTATTTCAAATCTTCCAATTTCTTTAGAATCTGGACATCTTTATTTAACATTAGCATCTCTAATATGTGATAAATGGTTATAAATCTAGGAAGTGCAGTATGGGCTCTTATGCTTCTGACTTTGGGGAATCAGTGCTAATGATGTAGATTGCCTTTAGCTCTGACCCCCTACACGTTTATCAGAATCATCCCTCTAAGGACACTGATTTCCTTCCTTTCTCTGAAAGGATGAACAGGAAGCTGAGAACTTTGAGGTCAGGATGAAGATGTAGACTCCAAAGCATGGTGGAAGTGGAGGACGGAGTTCTGGGACTTTCTAACTGAGGGGACAGGAAGACTATAAATCCAGGATTGAGGCTGGGGGTGGAGCACGGTGCTAGTCTGCTTGCCTGGCATGTTGCATGTCCTGGGTTCCGCCCCCAACTCTGGGGGAAAAATCCAAGATTGGGCTAAGCAATAGTTAAAACCAGTTGCGAGTAAAGAAGACATGAATTGATAAGGCATGTACTGAACTTAAAAATGTGTCTCAACATTATAAAGTGCATAAACTGGAAATATTCAAATATGTAATTTTCTGTTGTTTTTTGAGACAGGATCTCACTGTAGTTCAGGCTGGCCTTATACTCACTATGTAGCCTATGCTGGCCTGAACTTGGGGCAATCCTCTTGCCTCAGCTTCCCAAGTGCTAGGATTATAGGTGTATACCACCACACCTGGCTTCACATATGTAATGTTTAACAGAAGTTTTTATAGCAGTCCAGTAATTGGTTTATTTTCTCATATCACTTGTCCTGAAAATTCTAAATGTCACTATTTGCTTGGCGGGAATGCCCCAAATTATAGCCTTGTCTATGAAAAATAGGTTGTTCTTTTTCAGTAATTCCTTCCAAAATATGAGAACTCCCCTTTTTAAATACCAAAATATTTAAATATATTAAAATATTTAGCAACATCCCCTTTTATTCTAGAACTCCAGAAAACATTCTCCTGTGTGATAATTATTAATAGAGAAAATAGTGACTAAAGGCTACTACACATTCATAGCTTTGAAAAAAATAGTAATTACAACAGCATCTATTTGCATTTGAAAAATGTGCTAAACATTGATTTTACAGACGAGTCACTTGCTAGGTTGGTGGACTATAAATGGTAAGTGTGTGTAGAGCCTAGAAAAGTGCCTTCCACTTAGTGGTGGTGCTCAATGAATTTTTGTTTACAAAAAGGAATTCAGCTGGGTGTGGTAGTATAGGCCTGCTATCCCAGCACTTGGAAGGCTGAGACAGGAGGATTGTGAGTTTGAGGCCTGGGCTACAGAGCTAGTTCAAAGCCAGCCTGGACTATGGGAGACCCTGTCCTAAAAAACAAAACAACAGGGCCAGGGATTTAGCTCAATGGTTTCGCTGCTTGCTGTGCAAGTGCAAGGACCCAAGTTCGAATGCCGGTACCAAACAAAACAAAAAACACAGCAACAAAGAATTCACTTTGCATCTTCTTGTAGGTACTCATAATTACTAAAAAGCACCAGATTCTCAGGCTTTCATAGTTTTTCTGTTCTCTTACCATTTTTCATTTTTTCCTTTTAGTTATGTAAATTTGTGACATTAGGTAATGCTGTTTTGAGGGTCTGTACGTATATGATTTAGTTCATTAAAGTTTCCAATATGCAGTGGGCCCTTGACTTACAAACTATCTGTTCCTGAGGGCTGGTTGTAACTCAAATTGGTTGTAAATCAATACAGCTGAGATCTGGATGTTTACCTGGGTGCGTGCTATAGATAACAAGATAACAAAGGGCAGAATTAGGTCCATTAACCTAATTAACCCAAGTTGTTTGTATGTCAGTCTGGTTGCAACTTGAGGGTCCACTGTAGTTCCCAACCTTAGAATTAGTGATTTCAGCTCTATTTGCTACCTGTTTTGTTTTGTTTTGTTTTGTTTTGTTTTCTAAGAATGGGTCTTGACGTACAGTTCAGACTGGCCTTGAACTCATTAGGATCCTCCTGCCTCAGCCTCCCGAGTGCTAGGAATACAGGTGTGCGTCACCACTCCCAATTGCTTGAGGCTATATGCCTATGCTTCTACAGTGGTAACAACCAGTCTCCTTTGTTTTCTCTTCTGGGTTAAGCTCATGTTGTAATAGCTCCACCTTGTGGACCTGAAGGATATTGCTGGTGCTGAAAATGTAAAAGCCCTGATTTGTTCTTGTTTACAGAAGGGGGGGCGGGGGGAGACAGACAAGGGATCAAGCCCAGGATTACTCTACCACTGAACTACATCCTCGGCCCTTTTTATTTTTTCTTTTGAAGCAGAGTCTTGCTAGGTTGACCAAGCAGGCCTTGAACTTGTGATCCTCCCACCCCAGCCTCTCAAGTGCTCAGATTATGGGTATGCACCACCATGCCTAAATCAGATCTTTCATTTTTATACCTAAGAAATGGTGCTAGGTAAATCCAATTCTTAAAAACTTAACAGTGAGTAAGATAAAATTTAATCAAAAATTGGTCCTCCTGTTTTCTACCCAGGCACAGTTAGTGTTATATTTTCTAAGCCATTTAAATATTACTTTACAAGGATACGGGGATAGAGTGGTTTATTCAGTCCTGGATTTAATTATAATCTCCATGTTTTGGTTTTATGTTGACCAATAACTAAAATAAGCAACAGAACTTTACCTTTTGAATATACATCTGTAGAGCTTTTGTGCTTGATTAAAAGTAGCAGTAAGGTCATTATTGGCTTGGGCATCTTGTCAGTCACTTAGCTCATTGGGGGAGAAAATACCTGATACCCAAAACTTAAAGGAGGTGGGGTTCGCTTTGCCTCTTGTTTCAGTCCTTTGTAGTCGCTGGCTTCAAGGGAGACAGGCAGGGTTGAAGGATCTGGCAAGGGTGAGCTGCTCACCTCAGGAAGCAGAGCATCAAGGTGATAAGCCCTGCCAGCTCACACCTGCAGTGACCCCTTCTTCCCACCGGACTCCACCTCCTAACAGCAAGTCAGCCATATCGCCCCGTAATCCATCACCTTTCGACTCATGACTTTAGGGGCCATTTTAGACCTAAACCAAAACAGTCATTGCTGACTTACTCCCTTATAGTTTGTCAGTCCCTGTTTTTTAATGCAAAATAGAGAAGAGGTAATTTAAAAAACAATGTGTACATAATTTTCACTTTATTATTTTTTTTGAGATGTGATTTTGCTGTGTTGCCTGTGCTGCTCAACCTTGTGGGCTCAGGTGACCTCCTGACTCAGTTTCCTGAGTAGCTGACCCCACTGAGGCTACAGCCATTCTCATTTTCATTTTAAACCAACTTTTAAAGATACACTTTTTGTTTTTTAAAGATATACTTTTTATAAAAGAGTAATGGCAGATTTAAGCTTCATCTGTGCCCTTGTAGAGGCTAGAAACTGATAATCTGCTATTAAGGTTTTATTCCTTAGTAAAAATCATATTCTGACTATTTAAAGCTCCATTTTAATTAGAGAGCCTATGTGAAGTCTGTATTTAACTTAGTATGCAAAATGAGATGACGTTGTGATTTTGTGTGTGTGTGCTTGTTTTAAAATGGAAAGTATGTAAGAATTATTCCCCTGAAAAATCATCCACCTTATTGAGATCAATTTAAGGCTATAAACTAATTATAATAGCACTGCTGTTGGTTAAAATAGTTTTGAATATATTCTTTTGTATTCAGTGTCAAACTTCCAGTCCTTTTTAGGGGGACTTGATTTTCAAGAATAGCCAAGTTAGAAGAATAAGAAGAATAATGTGGGTGATCTGGCTGATTAACATGGTTAACACTAAACTGAATTACCTAAACTGGGTAATTAGGCCAACTTGGGGTTTGTCTACAAACTGCCTCTGAAATTGGAGCTGCAGCAACAGCAACACCCTGAGCGTTGCAGTGCCGTGGGAGGAGACTGACACCAGGCCTGGAGATGAGTGTCTTGAAGATGGCCTTCTTCATAGAAGAAGTGCTTGTTTAAAAACTGTTTCCCTCCTTTCTGGAAACACTTTTTCCACCCCCAATATAACATATATTTAGGCACAGTGGTGCAGTAATCCCAGCACTTGGGGCTGAGACAGGAGCGTTGTGAGTTTGAGGCCAGCCTGGGCTACATAGCAAAACCCTGCCTCAAAATACCAAAACAACTGCAATAAAAATGAGAACATTCAGAGAAATTCTAAGAATTATACAATGAACAACCATACACCTGCCATCTTGTTTCTAAAGTTAGCATTTTCCTTATCTCTTAATCTGTCATTCTATATGAAGTCTGATGCAAGTCTGTTGACTTCAGAGACCCAGTGAAATGACTGGCTTAACTTGGGAAGAAGTAGGTTACACTCCCTGCAGTAAGAGAGCAAATGAGCTCCTGTGAACATCTGGCCTTCTCTTCTTTTTCCAGGACGTGTTCCACATGGTAGTTGAAGTTCCACGTTGGTCTAATGCAAAAATGGAGGTAATGTTTTACCGTAGATGTCAGAAGTAGGGTATTAATGACTTGTTTCTGAATCTGATTCTCTCAAGGATGAAGCAGTGAGACTCCAAGGGTGTCCTCTGTCCAGTCCCTGTCTGCCTCCCTGTGCCAACACTTTCCCGCTGTGCTCCAGCCAGACAGACATTTACCGCCTGTGACTGTGCCCCATGCTCCCTCACTGCTTTGTTTCTGATGTTTCCGAAACCTAGTGCTGTAGGTCACTTTTTGACAGTGACCTGAATAATTTGCATTCAGATTCCTGAAAATTTTTAAATGTTTTAAAGGAAAGCTGAAGTTGGATAATGTTTATTTTGTCTTTTTTGTAAAAGTTTTGTACTTTCATTTCTCAAATGGTAGGATTTATCCCAGCTAATTGTAGTTGTTGCTTTCGGGAATGAGAAAACATTCTTTTTCCCCTCTTGATAGTGCTGTATACCTCCTGTAAGTTTTCCACTTAATGGCTGATTAGAGACACAATTCAAATTACAAAAAATGTCAGAGTTAAAGTTAATTGTGAAAGTGAAATTAAGGGTCATACATATCATGATTTGTTTCCTCAAATCCTTATTTAAGTAGTATTTCACATCCAACTATAAACCATTTGAAATTTTATTTCAGATAGCTACAAAGGACCCTTTAAATCCAATTAAGCAAGATGTAAAAAAGGGGAAACTCCGTTATGTTGTGAATTTGTTCCCTTATAAAGGATATATCTGGAACTACGGTGCCATCCCTCAGGTGTGTCTCAGTTAACTTGCAAAACATGTATATTTTTATGACTTACTGTTGTTGGAAAAAAGATTTAATGACCTTTAGAAAATGTTCACTATAGTAAGTTGTTGGTTTTTTTTTTTTGTTTGTTTGTTTTTTTGTGGTACCGGGGATCGAACTCGGGTCCTTTGCGCTTGCGCAGCAGGCGGCGAAACCACTGAGCTAAAGCCCCGGCCCTGTATAGTAAGTTTTTTTAAACATAGGAAGGGATAATCAAATTGGTTTACTACTTCTTTGAACAACTTTTCAAGATCAGTTGTAAGTATTTACAATGTCTGAATTCAGAATTGAAAGTTTATTCTTTTCTGAGCTATTTCTCTCTTTCTACAGACTATGAACTCTATACATTCTTTTTTACAAATACTATGGCAAGTCAGATACAGAATGACAGTAGTACTCAATTTGTCTCTTGTTGATCCACTCTGAGACATTAGTAGTACTCAGCTGCTGTGGTTATTGGGAGGAATGAAGAAAGCACTTAGTACCTGTGCACAAAAGTTCTCAGAGTTGTTGACTTTTTATGTTTTGGGTGCTGCTCCCTCCTTGAGGCCGAGCTCTTTGTGATAAAGTAATGATGGGATCCTGTTTTCTTACACAGTCCTTCAAGGAGGGGGACATCTACATGATTTGCAGTTTATCCCCAGCACAATGCCAGTATGCAGGTTATTTATGTTTATATTTAATGTTTGAATGAATCATTAGAACATCTCTATGAGTATGTGATACATGTTTAATTTTAGTTTAGCTAGGCAAATGCTGTGGGACTTACTAAATGTTCTACTTATTTTTTCCTATTGATAAATGGTTTGTTTCTATTCATCATTAAGTTTATTAAATGGAATCTATTGTGGAACAATCTATAAGTTACTAGAATATAGGTCAGACTCCTCTAGCTTGTTAAGGAAGCCCAGTCGTTTGCTCTCATCCTAGCACTTCACCTTGTATTTCAGGTGGCTTAGTATTTAACTTTGAAGTACTGTCCCTTGGGAAAACATTGCTGATATGCTTATTCTTCTCTAGGTTGGCTTTTTGGATATGGCCTTCCTTTATTCCCCTTCACTTTGATCTTTTTGCCTTCACTCCAGCTGAATAGGCAAGCAAATCCAAGTCATATATATGTTCTTGTTGGGGAAAAAAGAACCCAAATAACAGGTGTACTTTAAACCTAACTTCTTGGCAAGCACAGGGTTCAGCTCTTTTATGAGATGCTCTGCAAGGACTCTGGCTTGCAATTTAGCAAAACAAAAGAAAGCCAGTAATTTATGCTTCAGAAAATCCTGATTGAAGTTTTCAGCCTTGGCTCCTGGCCAACAGTAATGCTTTTAACATTATCATTTCCATTTTAGTATTATTGCCTACCCACTTCTGTTTTACAAATTTGTTATAAAGGAAATTAGTAGTAGAAGACATTAACAACCTAGAGCAGTTCATCAAAGCACTTGTCTTTTAATATATTTGTAAAAAGTATTTGGGTCTTTACATATTTGTGCTTGTGTGTTGTTTCAGTTATTAAGTTGATTTTCTTTTTGTTCTAAATAAGATCTTTAGTCTTAAAGCTTAAATTCAGTTTAGTATTGTTTGTATAATAGGAACTGCAGAATTTAATTGAAATTATTGTGTGCAGTTAGGATTCTTAAATATCAATAAAGAACTTAAAGAGTAGCTGAATGCTCAAACTTTTGCAGAAATATTAACATTATCCCCTTTGTTAGCAGCATGTACAGAAATGACAAATGCTTAGCTTTATTTTTTCAGACATGGGAAGACCCAGGACACAGTGACAAACACACTGGCTGTTGTGGTGACAATGACCCAATTGATGTTTGTGAAATTGGAAGCAAGGTAATGATACCTGATATTTTTCTCTCAGGTATTAAGATGGTATCAGTGAAATATACCAAAGTTCTTACTTAAAAGATAGTGTGAATAAAATATATAAACATTAGTGAAATTGTAATGTCTCTTTGGGAGATAAATTAAAGGCTTCTATTTGATTCTAAGCATTTATACATTATCATTTGTTTCCATTTTTTCCTTTTTTGGTACTGGGGATTGAACTCAGGACCTTGGGCTTGTGAGGCAGGTAGCGGAACCACTGAGCTAAATCCCCAGCCTTATACATTATCATTTGTGTATTTAAACCTAGTCTGGAAAAAAATGTGTGTCTGGACACATATGACTGGACACATACAGAAGAAGCTGATGTGCTTAAGTGGCTTTAAGAAAGCCACTAGTTAAGCTACTAGTTAGGAGGTGAAGGTGACTGGAGGACATTTCATCACAGAGTAGTGGAAACCTCGCCTCTTTGGAGTGATCAGTGAATTGATTAGAGCCAAATAACCTAAGTTGGAGATTTCTGGTAGTGATTCTTCTATCAAGTAAGGTGGCTTGAACATTTTGACTATAGTTATTTCTTTATGATCTCTCTCAGGGAAATAGTAAACAACTAAAAACAAAGTTGTGATTAAAACCTGTGAAAAGTCCAGGTTTTTTTATTTTGTTGTACTGCTAGGGATTGAACTCAAAGCCTGTGCATACTAGGCAAGAAACTATAAGTCCTTTTTCAAACTTAATACTATAAGACTAGTGAACTGTTTATTTGCCTAATTTTAAAAAATTTCCTTCAAGGAACAATCTTAGTTAAGTATTCAGAAACTTAGAATTTTTCTTCTTTCCTCTTACTTACCAAGTAAAGCTTTTCTTCCAAAGTTTTATTCTGTAATGTCCTGATTGTGGTTGTTGACTCTCAGGTATGTGCAAGAGGTGAAATAATCAGGGTGAAAGTTCTGGGCATATTGGCTATGATTGACGAAGGAGAAACTGACTGGAAAGTCATTGCCATTAATGTGGACGATCCTGATGTGGCCAATTACAATGGTAAGAAAATGTAAGAGTGTCAAGTCTTTTGTTTTTTTGGTGTGGGGGTTTTAAGTCAGAGTCTCACTGTGTAGCCCAGGCTGTCCTTGAACTCATGGTGATCTTCCGGCCTCAACCTTCTGAGTTCTAGGATTACAGGTATGTGCTACCATGCCTGGCTAAAGCTTTTCTAATTCTTTTTTTGTTTTGTTTTGTTTTTTGGTACGAGGGATCGAACTTGGGACCTTGCACTTGCGAGGAAGGCACCAGAACCACTGAGCTAAATCCCCAACTGCTTTTCTAATTCTTAACAACCACCAAACTTGACCTGTAGTGATAGAATTATAAGCCAGTCCTTTCAAACTATTAAAGAATGGAGGAGCATTTGACAAGGCATTGCTATTTTTACTACTGAACTTGCATTAATTAAATACAGTAATATTTTCCTTTCCCTCCTCACACAATACCACTCAGTTACTATGTATATTTTTCTAAAAACATTTGGTATATAATTCACATACCCTAAAATTCACCATTTTAAAGTGTACAATTCAGTTACTTTTAGTATATTTATTATATCATGTGACTGTCACCATGATCTAATTCCAGGTTATTTTCATCACCCCAAAAAGAAATCCTGAATCCATTGGCAATCACTATCCACTTTCCCTCAGTTCCTGGCAACCAGTAATCTACTTTCTGTCCCTACGGATTTGCCTGAACATTTCATATAAATGGAATTATACCGTAGGTGGCCTGTGTCTGGCTTATCTGGCTTAGCTTGGTGTTTTCAAGGTTCAGCCACACTGTAGCATGTATCAGCATTTCCCATGTTTGGTAATAAAATTGACTTAATATTGAAGTTCACCATTTCTTCCCCTCCCTCCTTCCCTCCCTTCCATCTGTCCATCCTTCCTTTCTCAGTCCTGGGAATGGAACCTAGGGCCTTTACACTGAACTACAACTCCGGCACCCCTCCCCCTCTTTTTTTTTCTGAGAAAAGGCCCTGCCCAGGCTAGGCTCAAACTTGTGATCCTCTTGCCTAAGCCTCCCAGAGTGCTGGGTTTATAGACACGTGTCACCACGCCTGGCTTCAGCTATTTTAAAGTGTACAATTCAGTGGCATTTAATATATTCCCAGGGTTGTGCCTCTAGTTCAGTTCATGCCCTTTCCCTCTTCTGGTAACCACTAGTCATTTTTATCTATGAATTTACCTATTCTAGATATTTCTCATATACATGGATTTATGTAATATGTGGTCATTTGTGTCTGACTGCTTTCACTTAGCATGTTTTCTAGATTCATTTGTATTGTAGCTTGTGTCACTCTGTACTCCCTTTTTACGGGTGAATTTGGTGCTATTTTCAGGAGGTGTGAGCTGTCGTGGATAACACTGCTGTAACTGTCCCTGTTTGTGTCTTTGTGTGGACATGTGTTTGTAATTCTCAGGTGTCTGCCTAGGACTGGGTGTGCTGAGTCTGTGGTGACTCTGTTTAACCGTTTGAGGAACTGCCAGACTTGTCCAAAGCAGTTGTACTATTCACATTCTCCCCAATGGGGCATGAGGGCTGCAGTTTTCCTGCATCCTCACAAGCATTGGTTACTTACCTTTTGGATTATAGCTTATAATATGGTTGCAACCAGAACTGTGGAATGAATTCTGCAACCAGAATTGTGGAAAGAATTAAGTTCATGAATTCTACATCCAGAATTGTGGAAAGAATTAAATTTGTGAACTGAGGTACCACTGTATATTTTCTTCCAGGAGTTTTATAAATTTAGCTTCTACATTGAAATCTTTGGTCTATTTTGAATTATTTTTTCTACACTTGATCTTAGCCAAAAGGCCGAGAAGCTATTGAATTATTTTTTCTACATGGTGTGAAAGAGGGGTCCATTCTTGGATATCCATTCTTATGCATATGGTACCCAATTGTTCCAGCAACATTTGTTGAAGTCTTTTTCCCCTTTGAATTGACATGGCATTCTTCTTGAAAATCAGCTGACCAAAGGGCTGGGGATTTAGCTCAGGTGCACCGTGCCTGCCTCACAAACATAAGGTCTTGAGTTCAATCCCTGGTACCAAAAAAAAAAAAAAATCAACTGACCATAAATGTGTGGGCTAGTTATAATTTGATTGTCTGAAGTCCTGTGGGGAATAAATGTTTATACTTTTTAACACTGTACCTAAGTTAATTTTATTTTAATTAAATAATTACATTTGGTGCTGGGAATTGAACTCTGGGTCTCACACTTGCTGAACTGACCTCCAACCCTATCTGGACTATTTTTATGTTAACTTTGCTTCTGGTTAATGTTTTACACTTGATCTTGCCAAAAGGCCGAGAAGCAATGGTTAATGTTTTAATCCATTTACCTAATTATTGAATTTGTCTTTTTTTTTTTTTGGTACTGGGGATAGAACTCTGGACCTTGTGCTTTCGAGGCAGGCGTGGTGCCACTGAGCTACATCCCGGCCCTGAATTCATCTTGTAATTGGAATGGGTCTGGCTGGGTTAGAGTCAAAGTGTCTCCAGGGTTGTATCCTCTTGAACTCTGGGGAAAATTCATTTTCTTGCCCTTCTCAGCTTCACAGGCTACCTATGTTCCTTAGTTTGGTCCCATGTCAGCAGTGGCAGGCTGGATCCTTGGATCACTCTGAGCTTGTTCTCTGTCACAGCTCCTCTCTATCTTACTCATATGCCCCCCTCTTCTACACTGTAAGGATCTTTATGATTACACTTGATCCACCTGCATAGGCCTGGATAATATCCCAATTTGAAGGTCAGATGATTGCCGTATTTCCATCTGCTATCTTTGTTCCCCCTTGCCATGAAATGTAGCATATTCAGAGACCTGGGGACTAAGAGATGGGCATCTTTGAGGGACCAGTTTCCTGCCCACCACAAGTAGTAAAACTTGTGTATGATGCATTTGTCAAAACCCATAGATCTTTACAGTGGCAAAATAATGGCCCCTCCAAAGATGCCCACCTCTCAACCCCTGAAAGCTGGAATAGGGGTTCCCTTATGTGGCCAGTGGACTTTCACATGATTAAGGTTCCTGACTTGAGGTGGGGAGAGAGTATCCTGGAGTACCCAGGTGGGCCCAGTCCAATCACTCGAGTCCTTGGGAGCAGAGACCTTTCTGAGTTGTAGTCAGAGAGATGTGCGGGCAGGAGAAGGGGCAGGGAGGTGCCACATTGCTGGCCTAAGATGTTAAGGGTGAGGAGATGGTGCCACAAGCCAAGGAAAGTGGGCGGCCTGTGGAGGCTGACAAATGCAAGTAAACAGATTTTTTTTGCAGAGCCTTCAGAAGGAAATGCAGCCCTCCTGACATCAGGGACTCTAGGCTTGTGAAACTGGGAACTTCGACCTATGGGGTTGTTAAGTAATAAATCTGTGTTGCCGGGTACAGGGGCATATGCCTGTAATCCCAGCTACTCTGGAGGCTGAGGCAGGAAGATTTCTTTTTTTTTTTGGTATCAGGGATTGAACTTGGGTCCTTGCACTTGCGCAGCAGGCAGCAAAACCACTGAGCTAAATCCCCGGCCCTGAGGCAGGAAGATTACAAGTTGAAGGCCAAAAATGAATGAATGAATCCATGTTGTTTCAAGCTACTGAGTTTATAATAATTTGTTACAGCAGCATTAGCTAACTAATACACATCACAAGGAATGAACCTTAATGCATGCAAATTTTTAAAAATTATTGACAAAGTTAACTCCTGGATGAAATGCAAACTATGGCAAAAGAATCTGACTTTACTACAAACTTTACTATGAAAGTTATTAAGTAAATGAAAGTATTTACTATAAAATAACCTCACTGAGGGGATGGGGAGACAAGGTTCTGACCTTAGAAATTTTGGAAATGAGTGAGTCGGTGAGACATTGTATGTGAGTTGGAAAGTTGTTCTTGGTAGAGTACAGTTAGCGATCCTGAAGCCACTGTCCATGTGTCCTGGATCTGAGCAGGTGGAAGCCAGTGGAGTAGGAGATTATAGATAAGCAAGGGAGGCGGCTAGAATTCACCATGTGCCAATGGCTTAGAGTTCAAGATACAGTAAGAATTCATGTTTATCACAGTGTAAATACAAGTTTATACATAGAGAACATGTTTTTAGATGTGTGGATATAGGTGAATTGGTGTACACACATCTGTTTCTTTTCTCTATGGGCTGCAGGCTTAGAAGACCCTCTCAACAGTGGTGAGCACTCTTGGGCCCTCGCTGTTGGTTTCCAATACCCTTCTACAATAAAAGGGCACCAAGGCTCCTTGATTACAGGGGTGGGGCAGAAAATGACAAAATGAGCCTGAAGCTTAGTGACAGGAAGTAAATGCTTCTAAAGAACCACAATGAGTGCCTATCAAAGGGACACACAGTTAAGGTAGTTTTGCATTATAACCTAGAGTATAAGATAAAATACCCGTGAATCCATAGTGACACAAATGAAGAAACAAGTAGGGGAGGGCAGGCAAATCCCTCTAGCAAAATTCCAAATAATTTATGTAGCTCCTCATCCTTCAGGTAGCAGAGCATAACTACTGCTTCTTGTAGATGATTTTAGAGTGACTTCCTTCCAGACAGTACAGTACTGTACTCAATCTCAGTGTTGTTTTAATTTGCATTTCTCTAATGGCCAGAGATGTTGAACATTTCTTATGTATTTACTGGCTATTTGTACTTCTAGTGTCTATTCATTTCAATTGTCCATCTTCTGATTGGGTGTTTGTATTGGGGGGGGTCCTAAATTTTTTTTAAAGTGTTTTATGTAGTCTAGATATTAATCTTCTGTCCAAAAAAAATCTGGCAAAATTTTTTTCCCCACTCTGTAGGTTGTCTCTTTGCTCTATTGGTTGTTTCTTTTGTTGATTCTTGTTATTTCTTCTACAATTGGGGTTCTGTTCAGGAAGTCCTTGCCTAGGTCTTCAAGAGTTTTACCTATATCTTCCAACAGATTGTTTCTGTTTTAGCATTTAGATCTTTGATCCATTTTGATTTTAGTTTAGTACATGGTGAGAGATATGGGTCTTGACTCAATCTTCTGTGGATAGCAAGATTTCCCAGCACCATTTGTTTAAAAGGCCATCTTTCCTCCAGAATATGTTTTTGGCCCCTCTGATCAGATGGCTGAGTGTGCCTGTGGTTGTTTCTGCATCCTCTATTCTGTTCCGTTGATTTACATGTCTGTTTTTGTACCAGTACCATGCTGTTTTTTTTTTTTTTTAATACCATGCTGTTTTTAATCACTGTAACTTTGTAATATAATTTGAAATCCAGGATTGTGATGGCTCCTGTTTTGCTCTTGTTGCCCAGGATTCCTGTACGTATTCTGGGTGTCTTCTGGTTTCATATGAATTTTAGAGTCGTTTTTTCTAGTTCTGTAAGGAATGCTATTGCTGTTTTGCTCAGGATTGCATTATATGTATATATCACTTTGGAAGTGTGGTCATTTTGACAATATTGGTTCTGCCTCTCCAGGAGTAGGGAATGTCTCTCCATTTTCTGATGTCCTTTTCCATCTTCTTTTTGGAAGTACTGTAGTTTTTATTATAGAGATCTTTCACTTTGTTAGGTTAACTCCTAAGTATTTAATTTTTCTTGAAACTATTATGAATAATTGTTTTCCTAATTTATTTCTCCTATGGCTTCTAGCCAACATTTAAAATGTCACCTATGGGCTGGGGATGGAGCTCAGTGGCAGAGCATTGCCTGGAATGCACATGGCCCTAGGTTCAATCCCCAGCCCCACAAAGTTAAAAGCAAAAGAAAAAAAAAGTTTTAAAAAAGTAATCCATTAAGAAATATAAGTCTAATTCATTTTTCTTGTCTTGTTATTGGGATATGACCCTCTGAAATATAGCCTCAACTTGTCTTTTTAGTACCTTCTGCCTTTCTGATAGATATTATCCACACTTGCCAAACTGGTTCTTTCATTATGAAACCCCATCATTTCTCTTTCCTCCTATCTAACAGTAGTTATAGTTGCACTGATTTGATAGCTCAGTACTTAATTTCAGAGTTATTCTAAGACTGTAGATTGATTTCCTTTTAATTTGTATGCGTTCTCTTCTTAACAAGCCCTAATATTGTCTTAAACTTTTTGATAATAAACTACAGCTCTCTCTGCCAGGTGTGGTGGTGCACACCTGTAATCCAAGCACCAGGAAGGCTGAGGCAGGAGGATCGCTGCCAGTTCGAGGCCAGCCTGGGCAATATAGTGAGACCCTGTCTCAAAAAAACAAAAAATAAATAAATAAACTAAGCTCTCTCAATGTAATACTTGATGTTTTTGTTGAATGTATAAACACATATCATACACCCTGCTTATTCTCCTAGATATCAGTGACGTTGAACGGCTGAAACCTGGCTACCTAGAAGCTACTGTGGACTGGTTTAGAAGGTACAAGGTTCCTGATGGAAAACCAGAAAATGAGTTTGCTTTCAATGCAGAATTTAAAAATAAGGTAAGTGTCATTCAGAACTGTAGCTTTAGGCCTAGTTGTGTGAGGCTTATAATTGAACCATATTGTTTTCATCTAAAAATTGATAAAACGAAAGTCTAAAGATATAAGACAGAATTGGTGTTTATGAAAATGTTCTCTTCCATTTTTGATAAGAGGAAGTGATTCAAAGAGACAAAGTATCTGGGTGTGGTGCACACACCTGTAATGCCAGCAGTCTAAAAGGCTGAGGCAGGAGGATCAAGAGTTCAAGCCCAGCCTGGGCAACTTAGCCAACTTAGTGGGACCCTGTCTCAAAATAAAAAATAAAGAGCTAGGGATATAGCTGAGTGTAAAAGCCCTGGGTTCAGTCTCCCATACTGCAAAAAGAGGGGAGAGGGTATATCAGGCTTTGAGGAATTGTTGATAAGAAAAGGATTCTTTTCATCATTGTAATATATATCTCTTCAAATTATAGGACTTTGCAATTGATATCATTAAAAGCACTCATGACTATTGGAAAGCATTAGTGACTAAGAAAACGGATGGGAAAGGAATCAGTTGGTAAGTGTTACCTCTTTGCTGCAAATTTAACACAAAGCAGACCAACCAGCTTGCTCAGAGGTTTTTTTTTTTGCTTTTTTTTTTCGTACCGGGGATTGAACCCAGGTCCTCAGCTTGCGAGGCAGGTGGTGGAACCACTGAGCTAAATCCCTGGCCCAAACCTTTATTGGTACACTTTTTTTTTTTTTTTTTTTTGGTACTGGGGACTGAACCTGGGTCCTCAGCTTTCAAGGCAGGCGGTAGAACCACTGTCGCTCAGAGTTTTTAGTCACCATAAAACACTGTACTGTTGAACTGGTTTCCTGGGCACCATGATACATGCTTGTAGTCTCAGCTACTAGGAAGGCTGAGGCAGGAGGACTGCTTGAATCCATAAGTTTAAGGCCAGCCTAGGCAACATGGTGAGATCCTGTCTCAAAAAAACGAAGGAAGGAAGGAAGGGAGGAAAGAGGCTGGTTTTGTCAGTCAGTGCTATGTGGATGGGAAGGTAAAATCATAGACAACCCAAAGATGCTCATAAGGCACCTCACTGAACAAGTACAGACTTAAACATAAAGGAAACAGAAGCCAGAGCTGCCTGAGGTTACGTAATTGGGAAAGGTCTGGCATTCTCTGGGGTAAACACGTCAGACGCATAACAACCACCCCAGTGGCAGCCATGCATGCTGAATTTACTACCACTAATAATAATAGCTGATGTTTTCTGAGCAGTTAGTACCTGGCAGCCAGGTAACAGAGATGTAGGGAGACTGAAGTCACTGAAGTCAACCAAAGTCACCCGGGGTAGGTGTGGAGCAACGTCTGTCTCCCAAACATGCGTTCTTACTCAATACAATAGATTTCTAAGCTGTTGAGACATTTGTAATAGGATGCTCACTATCCTCACTTAACCATTATGCTGGACACACTAGGCAGTAAGGTAAATTAGAGAAAGAAATACAATGTAAGGATACTTGAAAAGGGGAGAGAAATTGTTGTACATCATACTGTATGCCCAGGAAACTGGCAAAAAGCAAACATTCATAGGATGACTAATTACAAAATGAGTATATGATGGGGTTATCAAAAAATGGTGAGTGGGCTGGGGATTTAGCTCAGTAGTTTTGCCTCCTGCTGTGCAAGCACAAGGACCCGAGTTTGATCTCCGGTACCAAAAAAAATGGTAAGTGTTTAAATTAAAATTTTTATTACAGTAAAGGCACATTGCCATTAACCCCCCTCAAAGCCTCCTTCTCACTTCAAACACATTTATTTCATCCTTCTTTTTTTTTTGGTACTGGGGATCGAACTTGGGTCCTTGCACTTGCGCAGCAGGTGGCGAAACCACGGAACTAAATCCCAGGCCCAATTTCATCATTCTTGATAATATATCTTTTACTGTAGTAAGTTTTAAAAATTTAACCATTCACTGTATTTTCTGATCACCCTTGTATGTGTATATTAGTAGCTTTCTATATAAACAGGAACCATAATGGAGGAAAGGATCCTATATAAAATATTTTAATTTTAATTTAATTTTATTTTATTTTATGATTTTTTGAGACAGTCTTGCTCTGTAATTCATGCTGGCCTTGAACTCACTATGTACCCCAGGCTGGCCTTGAACTTGCAGCTATCCTCCTGCCTCAGCCTCCCAAGTGCTGGGATTACAGGTATGTGCCACCACGCCCAGCTTTAGAATGCTTTTCTTTTCTTTTTTTTTTTTTTAAATTTTTTCTTTTTAGAATGTTTTTCTAAAACTGCCAAAGTCCAAACGTAAATCTGCAGGACCCAGAAAAACAAAACTTTAAAATCGAATATAAAAGATACTAAATAGTAATATATGCTGGGGCTGGGGATTTAGCTCAGTGGTTCTGGCGCCTGCCTTGAAAGCGCAAGGTCCCAAGTTTGATCCTTGGTACCAAAAAAGAAAGAGAGAGAGAGAGAGAGAGAGAGAGAGAGATTTGGTGTTTAAGAATGACATTCAAGTCCAGTGGGCTGGTTCATGCTTGTAATCCCAGCACTTGGGAGGCCAAAGCAGGAGAATTGCAAGTTCAGAGCCAGTCTGGGCCACGGAGCAAGACCCGTGTCAAAAGAAAGGCTATTGTAAATTTCCACTGTAGTCCATGCTGTATTTCCCAGATGCAGCATGTACTTTTGTTTAGTCTCTCCCTCTTTTTCTCTTTACTTGATCTATCTAAGCTTGTTCTGCAGAGCCAGTTTCTTCCCCACTCTTCACTTTTACTTTCTTGAATAAACTTGGCCACTGCTTAAAAAAAAAAGACATTCAGTTTTATCTAGAAAAAAAGAATTTTTTCTTTTAAAGAATGTATTTTGGATCTGAGGTTTTGGACCAACCGGCTAAGAAGAAAATAAAACTAGATTTCTCATTCTTTACCTCTGTACTGGTGTGCCTGCTTGTAACCAGGTAACAATCTGCCCGTTTTGTTTTGTTTTGATGCTGTAACCATGCAGTTTTGGTGACTGTGCCCTACACACAGTATCCCAGCCCTAGTTTTCTTCCAGCCTATTTTATTTTATTTACATATATATTTTTTTGAGACAGGGTCTTGCTATGTAGTTGAGGCTGGCCTTGAACTCACTGTGTAGCCCAGGCTGGCCTTGAATTTGTGGCAGTCCTCCTGGCTCAGCCCCTTAAGTGCTGGGATTACACGTGTGTGCCACCACACTTGGCATTTCCAGCCTATTTTACACTCTTACATTAATTTGGTGCTCTCTGCCAGCCTTTATGTTTCTAACCCTTGTCTTACATCACTGTTTCATTCCAGACAAATAAATGTTAGTGTTGAACATTTTTAGAAAAAGCATAGGCAGGTGTATTTTTCAGTTTGTAGGGAAGGACTTTTCAGATAACACAGAACTCAAAATACATAAAAGAAGGTTTTGCTTAATGGTATTATTTTTTTATGTAATAGAAGACAGTTTTTCCAGTTTCTTTTTTTTTTAAATAAGACATGACAAAGACCTGAGTTCCTTAATTTATAGATACTTTATTGAAGTTGATAAGAAAGGAAAAAAAAACCTAACATCTCCATAGATGAAAGGAAAAAGATGGGAAAAGGTAGCTTCCTTATAAGCCACACAGTCTTACTCATAACTTAAAATGCTGTTCAACAAGATGATGGTAATTTCCATTAGTTTTGCAAAATTTCAAAACAATCAGGTGATAGCCAGGGATTACAAGAACTGTACAGCTGGTAGAAGCAGAAATGGGTGCAGCCTTTGGAGATGGAGAATTTGCCATACCCAGTCCAAAAAAATTAAGATGCAACGTGTCTTTCTCTGTAGCACCACTGTGAATGTATCTTGTAGGTAGATCCCCAAAAGTTCACCAAGATGTACAGATACACATGTTCTTTTTTTTCCCCCCCTTGTGTGCTGGGGATTGAATGCAGGACCTTCTCACTAAACTACATCCCTAGCCCTTTTTATTTTTTATCTTATTACAGGGTCCCTGATAAGTTGACCGGGCTGGGCTCGAATTTGTAATCATCCTGCTTCCACAGTGCTGGGACTATAGACATGCACTGTTATTCATGGCTTAATTTTTTTTTAATATCAAAAGTTAATCTCAGCAGTAAGATTTTTCTCTGAGTATGAGAATATCCTGATGTATAATTTTCCCAAGAATCTTCTCTTCTTTGTCAGTATAATGCCCTGTAAAATGAAAACATTATCCTTCCACAAACAAAAAAAATTGAGAAGAGTTAAACATTTATGTGAAATTGTACAATCATAAATAAAACTTAGCATTTAAGTTAACTTCTTTTTTGTAGTATCTCACTATTTTCATGGAAATGGCCTTAATGTAAAGTAACAGATAACTGCGGCTATTTCATTTCTTATTGTACACATATTAATTCTATATTATAATAGTTCAGAAAGTTGGAACTATGGATAAGCAAAAGCATTTTTTTTTTAAACCACACTTTTTGATAGTCATGATCCTAGTTAGGGATGGAGGCTTATCTGTCTCCTCCAGACCTACCACTGAGATCCCAGGAGGCCTCATCAAAAGAGCAGTATGAGCATAAAATAAAAATAATTCCTTTCATTGTCATCTAAAAATTGATTAATATAAAACAGAAAAAGATTTCCAAAAGTCATCTGATGATCCTGTTGAGTATCAGGTCATGACTGATGTGTGGAGTGGGCATTCAAAGATTGGTTGAATAAATAAATTAATTAGCTTTTGAAAAAAAATATGCTTTTCTCAGATACCCATATTAATACTTGGAGGTTTTTTGGTAATTAAGAGTATACTGTATGCACAATTCACTGTATGGTTTTTAAATTTAGCAGTATATTGTAAGCATTTCCCCATTATAATAGTATACAACATCCCGTATCTGTATATTCTATTTTGTGAATAAATATTTTTAATCATTCCTTGTTGAACATTTTGATTAGTTCCAAGTTTTTGCTATTACCAACCGTGAAATGGCATAAGGTAAACAACATTATAGATCATTGTTTCTGTTTCACACTGGGTTCTGAGAGGTAGAATTTCTCTATCAAAGCCTATGAACTTTTTAAAGGTTCTGGATACACCTTACTGAGTTATTTTTCAGAAACATTGAGCCAGGTATTCTGTCAGATGAGTCTCCTTCAGATGCCTCATCAGTCCTGATAGGAACGGCAGTTTTCTTATTGTCTCAATGTTTTCAATTAGGAAAGATATCTTTTTTTATTTTTAGGAAAGATATATTTTTCAGCTATTTCAGTGAGAACTACAAAGCATTCATCTTAGAGTCTTAAATCTGAATTTAAGATATTTGAATAAAATTAACCACAAGAGAGAGGCATGGTGGTACACATCAGTAATCCCAGCACTCTGGGAGGCTGAGGCAAGAGGATTACAAATCTGAGCCCAGCTTGAGCAACTTAGTGAGACCTTGTCTCAAAATTTAAAAAGGCCCTGTGGGTGGGGGTGAGCCCTGGGTTCAATCGCCAGTACTGCCAAAAAAAAATGTAACCAGTAACTAGAATGTTTAATATAGGTGAGAAAGCTTTGACCTAAACCAGACTTGAATGTCATCTGGCCTTTGTCTTCAACTTTTTTCTTATCTCTGAAGAGAGGATATCCTGTTGTTTTACCTTCTGACTACTTTGCTTTATTCATCAGCATGAACACAACAGTGTCTGAGAGCCCTTTCAGGTGTGACCCTGATGCTGCCAAAGCCATCGTGGATGCGGTATGCAGACCCCTTTAACAAGAGGGCAGACGGGTGGCCTGGGAGATGGGTGTGCCGTGCTAGCCGAGAAACTCCGGTGTGCCTGAGATTGCGTGAGGTCTGAGCATTAGAACCCAGGGCACTTGGGAGTAGCATTTCACTGAGGGGAAGCTGAGGAGTGGTCCTGGTCAACTATAAGTCGGACGGACAGCAAAGTATAATTTGTAAAAAGTCAGAATGAGTCCACAAGGTTCTGGGTAGCCCACAAGCCTGTTACTTACCATAAGCTTTTTTCACAAAAGAAGCAATGGGAATTTACTTGACTTGGTTCCTGGCAAGGACCAAGGAAATTACCAAATTGTCAGTACAGTTGCAGAAACAATTTATAGAATTAAAAAAGACTTCTGTGTGAGATAATAAACTATCAAAGCAGTAGTTTGTACTTTGTTTTATGGTGTGGTACCAGGGATCGAACTCGGGGACCTTGTGCTTGCAAGGCAAGCGGCAGAACCACTGAACTTAATCCCAGGTCCCTTGTTTGTACTATTTTTAAGACTCTGATTTGAACATTCCAGGACCTGAACCAGATCATCTTATATTATTTTCATTTATAATGTTAGAAAAAGGCAAACCAGAGAAAATGGAGTCTTTATACTGTGTTGTAAAAAGGACATTATTGGTGAACCCAGTACATTTAGATTCATCTTTGTTTACATATGAATCTTGACAAAATTAAGATAAGTAAGGAAAACTGGAAAGGAAAAGCCAGTGGTTAATTATCGTAACTTTTTAATAAGAACATTTTATCTACATTTTTTATATGTGTGCATATGTAAAGTCATTATGTATGTATGTCAGTTTTTATTCTTCCTTTCAAAAAACATGTATTTTATTAATTATTCTCCAATGTGACATTGAAAGTCAAGGGCTTGGGCCAGGGATTTAGCTCAGTGGTTCTGGCACCTGCCTCGCAAGCACAAGGACCTGAGTTCGATCCCCGGTACCAAAAAAAAAAAAAAAAAAGAAAGTCAAGAGGCTTGACTTTGCATCTCTCAGCAGTGGGGCAAAACTTACACTGTTCCTGTATGTTCTAAATTATTTATAGTGCCTAAAAATTGGGGTGGTCCTGTTCCAATTCTTTTACAGTTTTGTCCATATACTTTTTCATCCCTGGGGTTAGGCTAATACATTTTAATCTTTTATTTTAGCTACCACCACCATGTGACTCTGCCTGCACAGTACCAACAGATGGTAAGATCTACATTAGTGTAAAATTACATTAAAAGGGGCTGGGGATTTAGCTCAGTGGTTCTGCTGCCTGCCTCAAGTGGAAGGACCCGAGTTCGATCCCTGGTACCAAAAAAAAAAATTACATTAAAAATTACATATAAGAGCTGGGGATTTAGCTCAGTGGTTCTGCTGCCTACCTCAGCAAGGGCAAGGTCCTGAGTTCGATCCATGGTACAAAAAAAAAAGTTATGTATATGCATGTGAAATTGTATATGTTTAATTGACAGTGATATATTTACAGGTACAATGGGATGTTTTGATAATATAATTATAATGTAGAATGATTAAATCAGGTGAATTAACAAATCTGTAACCTCACATATGTTTTTTGTGGTGAAACATTTAAAAATTACTGTTCTAGCCATTTTGAAATATACAGTGGGGCTGGGAGTGTAGTTCAGGGTAGAGCTCATACTCTAGGCCCTAGGTTCAATTTCTAGCCTAAGGAAGGAAGAAAAAAGGAAAGAAGGGAGAGAGGGAGGAAATATGCAATACATTATTATTTAGTATACTCAGCACTCTCTGTAGCGGATCCATAAAGTTTGTCCCTCCTGTCTGACTGCGACTTTCTACTGTTTCAATCAGTGTGTTTCTCTCCTTTCCCTATCTACCTGCCCTGACACCCCAGCCCTTACAAACACCATTTTCTCTCTAGAATTTCAGCTTTTTCAGATTCCACACATAAATGAGATCACGCAGTATTTGTCTTTCTGTGCTAGTTTATTTCATGTGACATAATGTGCTCCAGGTTCATGCATGTTATGTGTATTTTTATTTGGCTTTTTTTTTGGTACCGGGGATCGAACTCAGGCCCTTGCACTTACGCAGCAGGCAGCGAAACCACTGAGCTAAATCCTCGGCATGTTATGTGTATTTTTAATGTACCACATATATACAGAGAGAGGGGGAAGGAAGAAGGGAAAGAGTAAGAGAAGGAAAAGAAACATTTTAAAGTTTCTTAGAAATCTGTCTTTTGATAACTTACTGGTGGTTCTGTCCACTTAAAAAACAAATTTGAAGCTGGGCATGGTGACACACATCTGTGATCCCAACACTTGGGAGGGTGAATCAGGATGATTGCAAATTCAAGGCTGGCCTGGATTACATAGCAAGACCTTGTCTCAAACAAAAACAAAAACAGATTTGAAAATCACATTATATGATTAGCATTGAGAGTATGGAAGTCCAAGCCAGGCGTGGTGGCACATGCCTGTAGCCACAGCTACTCTGGAGGCTGAAACAGGAGAATCATGAGTTCAAGGCCAGCCTGAGCAATTTAACAATTCCTCTCTCAAAATAAAAATAATAAATCAAAAGGGCTGGGAATGTAGGTCAGTGCTCCCCAGGTTCAATTTCCAGTACTGTCCCACCCCCACCCCCATCCCCCACTACCAAAAAAGAGAGAAAGAAAGCCCAAACTAAAACTCCATCCTGAGGTACCAGCAATTGTTATAGCATAACTTTGCATATGTGTGTTTTAAGGTGACACCATAGCCAGATCCATTAATCCAAGTACAGTATTCTGGGTTACGTGTCAGGTGTGATTTTGATTCTCAACAGGGATTCTAATTTGATTTTTTCTCTGAATACAGTGGATAAATGGTTCCATCACCAGAAAAACTGATGAGACTTCTCTGGAATACAAGCTGATACCTGCTGCATCCTGTTTATCTGGAAGTATTAGAGGCAAAAGTAGTAGCTTTCCAAAGCTCTAGATTTATAGATCTCATCTGACCAATCCAGTATATTCAGAATGTTATCTGTCTAAAACCATTTTTCCTATCTCAATGAAGGTAACTTTCAGTAGTTCCTACTTAAGTATCAAAGCACTTGTGATTGGGAAGTCATTTGTGAGTAGATAGATGTGTGAGATGAACACATATTGGATGTATATGTTTACCATGTTAGAAAATAAAATTATTTTGCTGAAACTTGACTTTATGATATTTTATTTTATTCTGAAAATAACATTACCAATCAAGTATGGTAATGTTTGTTTTCTATCACTGATCTTTTTTTTTTGGTACCAGGGATCGAACTCGGGACCTTGCGCTTGCGAGGCAGGCAGTGTGGAGCCACTGAGCTAAATCCCCAGCCCTATCATTGATCTTTTAATTCAGTTCTAGAATTAATAGGTAAAAACTAACTGCTCATTTGTAGGAGCCCAGCAGTGAAATCCCTTATACTTGTTGTACTCTTGATCCTGTGCTCTATTACGTGATTCCTGGCATCCTGCTCTAGGATTAATTTTTATCACTTTAGGAAGAGTACAGCCTTTGTTGAAGGCTGAAGTAATACTTATATTTTTATGTCTTTAATCAATTAATTGGACCCTTAAGTCATTTACATTGTATTCTAAGTTATCAACCAGAATAGCTTTGTGATAAGTTAGTGGCCTTTGGCGCTGGACAGACTTAAGTTTGAATCCTGGCCCATCTTTTTACCAGCTCTGTCATCTTAGGCAAGTTACCAGCCACTCAGCCTCGGTTCCCTCATCTGTAAAACAGACACTCTTGCGTGATTGCTTAGAGTACACATTCAGATATTTTTTATTGAAGTTTTGTTGAGATGACTGTAGATCCACATGCAATTGTCAGAAATAATACAGAAAAATTCCCTCACACCTTGTCCAGTTTTCCCCCAGAATATCATTTTATAAAACTAGATAAAAAAAACAACAACAAAAAACTAGATCTCAGATTTCCCAGTTCCACCTGTACTAATTTGTGGTCTGTTGTTCTATACAATGTAATTGCCTAGGTAGGTTCATGCATCCCACAAAGCACTGAATAGGGCCAACCTTACACAGATCTCTCATGTTGCCCTTCCCTGTCCTGTCCTTCCCATACTCCAGTCCTTGACCTCTGGAAACCACTAATCTGGCCTTCATTTTTCTAGATTTTTGTCATTTCAAAATGTTATAGAACCAGGCATGGTCACACATGCCTGAATCCCAGCACTGGAAGCTGAGGCAGGAGGATCACGAGTTTGAGGCCAGCTTGTGTTACTTAGTGATTTCAAAACCAGCCTGAACTATGTAGTGAGATCCTGTCTCAAAAATAAAAAGATTGTTTATTCTTGGACCTGTGCCTTTTCATATAATTTTACAATAAATTTTGTCTTGTCTATGCCAATAACAAAACTTTACTGGGATTTAATAGGCATCGCATTAAACTTATAGATCAATTTTAATCATGTTCAGAGAACATTTTGCTCAGGCTGCCATAAGCACATACTGGATAGAGCCAGTAACAGCTGTCAAGAAGCTCTGGGTATTTGAATAGATAAGTTTTCTGTGGACTAAACCCAAAAAGAAATCTGAACTCCTAAGACCACAGCCGTTCTACAAATGGCTTTCTTGAGGTTTGGCTTAGAGCCAGGCACTGTTTCATGTAGATAACTGCAGATGTAGTGACAGACACGGTCACCGTAATAGGTTCAGTTATGATCCTCAATCCCCTAAAACTCCTAATGCATTTCTTTTTTTGTTTTGTTTTTTGGTACCTGGGATTGAGCTCAGGACCTTGTGCTTGCCAGGCAGGCGCGGTGCCACATCCCCGGCCCCTCTAATGCATTTTTGTTACTAATTTCTAGTTTGATTCCCATATGGTCAAAAAACACTGATTTTGATTCCTTCATAAAGGCTGCTTTATGGTGTATCTTGGAGAATGTTCTATGGGCACTTAAAAAAATTGTGTCCTCAGGGGTTGGAGGTATAGCTCAGTGGGAGAGCACTTGCCAGCCCGCATGAAGCCCTGGTTTTGAGTCTTAGCACTACCAAAAAAAAGTGTTGGGCTGGGGATATAGCTCAGTGGCACTGAGCCTGCCTTATAAGTGCAACGTCCTGAGTTTGATCCCTGGTACCAAAAAACAACAAAAACAAACAAAAAGTGTTTTGCTGTTGACAAGTGTTCTATGTTCTATTTATGTCCCTTAGGTCCTACCCTGTTGGTGGATAGTGCCATTTAGGTGTTTTGTTGCTGATTTTCTAACAGTTCTGTGAGTTGTTGAAGAGGAGGTGTGGAGGTCCCCAGTTGTAACTGGGTTTGTCTACTTGGCTTTTCAGTTCTGTTGGTGTTTGTTTCATGTATTTTGAGCTCTGCTGCTTGGTAAGTACACATAGTATCCTATCTTCCTGGGGGGACTGGCCCATCTGTCATTATGTGATGGCTCTTCATCTCTAACTTGGTTAACTCTCAAGGCTACTTCATTGGCTATTGGTACAGCCACCTCTACTTTTCTTAGCTTAATGATTGCATGATGTGTTTTTTCTATTTCAACCTACCTACATTGTTGAACTCAAAATTTCATATAAGCAACATGTAGGTGAATCACATTTTTAAAATGTACCATGCCAATCTGTCTCTTGATTAGTGTGTATATATATATCATTTACATTTCAAGTAAATTTTGAAGTGTTAGCACTTTATCCTATTTGGGGTTCACTTATCTTAAATCTATAGATTTGTATCTTTCACCACATTTGGGGATTTTTTTGGCCATTTCCTCCAGTACTTTCTGACCTTTCTTTTCTCTTTCTGGAACACTGATGATAGAAATGTTGGAGGGCTGGGGATTTAGCTCATTGGCACCATATCTGCCACTGAGCTAAATCCCCAGCCCAATGTGGGATCTTCTCTTATCACACAGATCTGTCTGTAGGTTCTGGTTTTTTCCTCTTTCAGACAGAATAAGTTCTGTTGTTCTGTCCTGAAGTTCAGTGTTTCTATTCTTCTGTCAATTCTGTGTTTAAGCCTATCAAATTTTTCATTTCCATTATTAGTGTCCAGTTCTGTGATTTCCATTTAGTTCTTTTATATAACTTCTGTTTCTTTGCTGAGAATTTCTAGTTGTAATTTCCATCAGGGAAATTTCTAGTTGACAATGCAATTTTAAGTCAGCTGCTTTAAAATCTTTGTCAGGATTCATCTCAGCCTTAGCATCAGTTGACTGTATCTCCTCATTCAAATTACAAGTTTACTGGCTCTTTGTTATGATAGCTAATTGTCAATAGTACTGTAGGTATTTTGGCTGTTTTGTTGAGAGAGTCTCACTATGTAGTTCAGGCTGGCGTAGAATTCACAGCGATCCCCTGTCTCAGCCTTCCAAGTGTTGGGATTACAGGTGTGCACCACCATCTTGCCTATTATGTAGCATTACCAGTTACCTTCTGTCAGGTTCAGGACCCATGCGCCTAATGTGTCAGTCCTGTTTTTAAAGTGATTTCTTTCTTTTCTTTTCCCTCCCTCCCTCTCTTTCTTTCTTGCTTTGTTTTTTTGAGATAAAGTCTCATTATGTAGTTCAGGCTGGCCTTGAACTCACTATATCACCCAAGCTGGCTAACCTTGAACTGTGTTGATTCTCCTGCTTCAGCCTTCAGAGTGCTGGGACTATAGGCATGTGTCACCACACCTGGCTTTCTAAACTTATTTCTGTTAAAAGTAACAAGTAAGCTTTCTAATGAAGATTCTGAAATGAGGAAGAAATCACGTGTGCCCACTACACAGGAATCACCCACCTGTGCTTATAGAAGGAAAGGGATAGACTAGTGCAGGAGGTAACATAAGCACTAGTTTTCCTGTGCCAGGGCCTTTGTAGAAAGCTGCCACTCCTCTGTTAGAGCAAAGAAAAGTATACTTCTGTGCGTGTTTGCTCTGGCTGCCATAACCACATCACGTATAGGGTGGAGCCAGTAACACTGTCAAGGAGAAGCTCTGGGTATTTGGATAGATAAGAGTTTTCTGTGGACCAAAGCCAAAAAGAAACCCAAACTCCTAGGACCACAGCCATCTACAAGTGCCTGGCACCATTTCATTTAGATGACTTCAGATGTAGTGACACATGGTCACTGTATAGTCTAGAAAGGTTCAGTTAGGATCATCGGTCCCCTAAATCTCAGTGGGTTAAGAAAACAAGTGTATTCCTCACAGGAAGTCAGCTCCGTCCCTGGGCAGCATGGTACTGCCCAAAGACACCTGCTTTCTCATGTTGTTCACCACGGGAGGGGATGGGAGGACTGCTGGAATCTCACGTGGTAGTTATATACATTTCCCCAGAAGCAACACATGCAGATGGCCTCATGGCTTTCCTTAGCCTCAGGGTAGCAGAGAAGAGCAGTCCTACCATGGATTAAAAGAAAGAACATTTGGCTGGGGATTTAGCTCAATGGTTCCACCGCCTGCCTTGAAAGCTCAAGGTCCCAAGTTCGATCCCGGGTACAAAAAAAAAAAAAAATTCTAGTAAGAAAGAACATTTAGTGAAAATGCCATGTACTTTGGCATATTATTTAATACAGACACCAGGTACCTCCCCTCTTGTGGCATTTGTCTGGGGCCCTGGAGTCCTCTACTAGGTCCTCTGTGCCTGGCTGTTGAGTGGGGGAAGAGACCGGAGAAGCTGGGCGGGGTAGGGTAGCACATGCCTGTAATCCTAGGACTTGGGAGGCTGAGGCAGGAGGATCACTTCAAGTTCAAGATCAGCTTGGGCTACACAATGAATTCAGGGCCAGCCTGAATTACAAGACCCTGTCTCAAAAAGGAGGGGGAGGGGACAGGGAGGAGAGAAGACAAAGAAAATATACCTGTCTCTCTGAGAAAAAGATGTAAGAGAGCCTAAATAAAAACTTGCCCTAGACCACTCAAGTAGTAAATGGGTCTAAGTCTTGCTTAGACCCAGATCTGATTTTGAGACAGGGCTTTTCCCATTGCTGTGCATGGATTCTGCCTTTACAGTCATTATCAATGGTTTTTAATAATTCAAGCTGATTACTCAGATATTCCTCTTTTGTTCACATTATTATTTTTTTTTCACAAAGAGATGATTTTTTTTTTTTTTTTGGTACCGGGGATCGAACTCGGGTCCTTGCGCCTGTGTAGCAGGCGGCGAAACCACTGAACTAAATCCCCAGCCCCACATTATTTCTAATGGTTTAGCCTT